AGAGCAAACTATTAATTCTTTTCTTTTTCTTCTTTGAAATCACAACTTTTGCATAATTAAACATTCTATTGAAATGATCGAATTTTGCCCTCTGACCTCACAATAACCGAATGAACACGTTGTAAGAAAACTTTTTTTTACTGTAAACAACGATTGTTATGAGTTATCATCTCTGATTAACAACTTTTACATTTTCGGAAAATTCACGAACTAACTGCAATAATTATGTATAAAACTTGTTACTAAATTCTTCTTTTGTATTATTTATCATTCATCGCACTTTTTAACGTAAGAATTGTATTTGCACAAGTTACTTTATATCCTCAATATTGGAGAATATAAATAAATTCGTTATTGTACACTTGTGATTGAATTTACAGAGACGCATTTTTAGTCAAGTCATATGAATTTAAGACTGCTAATTGAGAGTGTATTTGTATTTGAATATTCAAATTTGCCATTCACTTTAAACTTCTTTTCATCTAAATAATTAATTAATTAATGAAATACTAATCATTAATTAATGATATACAATATGTCATTTCTAGTGTTATAGTAAGTAAATTCAATGATAAATTATGTTTTTTCTTGCATTAAAGTTCAGCAAGAACAAACATGGTTTATCACTGAATTAGAAATTAATTATTATGATATTAAAACATAACATAATTACATAACATATCATAACTTAGTCTTCTGGGTTTGATTACTGATGTACTACTGATTTTCATTACGATGTATTGATATAAACTGATTAAGAATTTTGACAATTAGAAAAAGATCTTCATTAGCAGTGATTTAGTAATTTTATCTCTTCAGATGGGGGATGATTACCCGGACTCGACAAATCATTTGCACAATGACAGATCTCAAGTACCATCGATATCAGCCTCTGATTCTTCTTTTAGCAAAATTTCCCAGTCTAGTAGAAAAGTATCGCCATCTGAATCACAAAAGAAACGATTCCTTTTTTCTACTAGCAATATTCGCTTCTGGACAACGGGAAAGTCAGAGAAGAAGAAACAGAAGTTGACGAATGATGTGTTGAATCACGGAGATCAGTTACGTCATGTTAAAGAACAACGATATTCAATGCGCAGGTTAGCAAACTTTGACTTTATTAATTTACTGTTAAATACCGAACGAATTTGAGATAATAATTATGAGAAGTATTAAACTTTATTATGGATAAAAAGCTATAAATTAGTTGAGTGAACAAATGCATGAAGTAACAGTAATGCTATTAATTATATCTTAAGCATGAATTATTACACAAAATTATTTCTAAATTTAAATTGCATTTTTATTTTATTTAAAATAAATAACGAGTTGGCTTTATCGAAAAAGACTTATTATTTATTGCATAAATTGCAAAAGTCATAGAAACATTTCTTCTTTATTTATTTTTATTTCTATTTTGATTAAATTTGGATTGCTTATATATTTCCAACTGATTACATTCAGTGGCAAAGGCTTTCTTGAACAGCTGAACGAATGAATATCTGTCCTCAACTTTTGACTATTTTTTCATTGAGCAATCAATCCTTCCTTTATTGCTCTCATCGTTCTTTGTTGTGTTTTTGGAAATCTTTTCAGATTAGATTATTTTTGAGATATTATTTACACTATTTTTAGTTATATTTATTTATTATTAATATTTAATTTGTATTTTTAAACGTTTATAATTGTTTTTTTGATATTTTTTCAAGTTTTAAGCAATTTTAAATTTTTTGAAGTTTTAAGAATAAATTACAAAGGAATTTAATAATTGCTGTATAAAGAGTCTGCAAAATATGCAACAAAAGATTTAAAAATTCAAATGACAAATCAAAAATTTCTTCATAAACAGTTATTCATATTAATATAATGGCAGGAAAGAAGAAGAAGCATTGTCGTTTTTTGCAGAGTATTGTCAGAATGAAATTTTTTTGTGCAAATTAGAACTATTTTTAGGAACAATTCATTTTAAGTTAAATTTGTGAGGAATAGTCGATGTTTTTAATGAGTGAAAGCCTAAATTTCTCAGCAACTTTTTGTTTTTATTGACTGGCATTAATCCTCGAAATGTGTAACGAAAAAACTGAAATAAAAGTTGCTTTTATGAGGGCCAAGTCTTTTTCAGTTCCAAGTCCTAGACCATTCGGAAATGGAAACTGCTCCTCTCTTCTCCAATAAATGAATTTCCATTAACAATCAATTCAAATTCATTTTTCAAAAAAAAAGTTTCGAACTTGGTTAATTACACTTAATTACCGAGGGTATTGTAGTAATAAGTTTGAATTTATGCGTACTTAAAGTAGTATTAACTTTATTAAACTCAGTACTTTGCATATTGAGTTTGAAAATTTTTGTAGATTACAAATTTATGACAACTGAAATTGTTGTGATTTTGAAAATAAAATGCTTCTTTTGACTGCAATTTTCAATTAAGAATTAATTAATATTTCTACAGATGAAAAAGTTAACTCTGACACACACACACACACATACACACATACACACACACACATACACGTATTGTCATGAATGTTAATAGTGTGTGTAAGCAAGGCTAAAACTATAATTATATAAGAAGTAAGTTTTCGATAAATACACATTTGTGTTGATAAAATTATTGTAACTAAAAATCTTCATAATAATAAATGGCATTTTGGATTGAGTGCACTTTTCTGAAGTAATTATAAGGCAGTAATTCGTTTCATTCTTCCATAAATACTTTTTTAAAAGCAGCAAAGTTTGATGGCATAGATGTTCTTCACAATTTATGTTTATAAAGTATTTAATTTTTTATAAAAATCGAACATCGGAATTCAGTTTCGTAGTCAACTCACTTGCCAATTATGGTAGACTAACAAACTTTACTAAAGGAGATATCATCCATTTAAGTTCAGAAAGTTTTTACTTTAGTATTTGCATTTTGCTACTGTAATAAATTATAAACTTATAGGATTTTACTTTGTAAAAATTTTTTTAAATACTGTAATAAATTATAAGCTTATAAGAATTTACTTTTAAAAAATTTATTTTAATACTGTAATGAAGTTTATGATGTTCCGATATGTTATCGTATACAATGCATGTTAGATCGTTTATTTGATGTAATAGTTATAATTAGAATTAGAAGAAATAAAAAGTTCTAGCAAAACATCGCATTATTACTTATCTCGTAACATCGTAGCACTAAGTCTAAGCAAATCAATCATTTCGCGCAGTTTGTTCGAATTTTTAGCGCACAAATAATGATAGTTAATCAAAACTAAATTGAATTTATTAGTTTGTTTGATTTCATTTAACTATGCTTTAAAGACTTGAATGCTTCTCTATAACAATTAGCATTCTCAAACTGCTAAAGACGTTACTAATCTCAACTTAGGCTTATTTTCAAAATATATTAATAATTTTAAGTAACAAAAATTTTTCAATAATTTAAAAAATTTACAAGTTTTTACTTCCATAATCAAATCATTACTGCAATCTGAACATAAGAGTGGCGTGGCGTATTTTAGAATGACAACTCATACATGTAAAATTTATTTTTAAAACAATTCAAAGAAGTGTAATAAAATTTGCAAGTTTATTAATTAATCAATGATGTCATGTAGACGAAAGTATCATTGAGAATGGATCAAATAATTCGCTGTATTTGGCAATGTTTGCATAAATCTAACTTGCCATTTTTGTCCTATTCGTGACCAACAGCCATCAGCAGTGTTTCGCATTGGTTGTGCAATTTTTAAGGAATAAAATATCTTCAGAATTGCTTGCTTTATAAGAATTTTTCTTTTTTTTTGAAAAAAATAATTCCTAATTTTTTTTTGATTATTTTTGATTGATTTAAAAAAATTTTTGTCTTTGATTATTTTTGAAATTTTGACTTACAAAAGCCATGGTTTCATTTCATTTACTGACTGTATGCGTACAAAATAATTCAAACTTACTAATTATTATAGAAATTACTAAATGTTTTAATTTTATTTTTATTAATAATGTAAAAGTAAACTTTATAAAAAATAAATGAATTTTTTTTTCTTTACCAAATGGCTGTCATTTGCATATATTTACATGTATGAGTTTACTTTTACATTATTAATAAAAATAAATTAACTTCATATATCTATCTCAATTAGACTTTAAATAGATTGAAAATTTATCAAGTTTTTGCTGCGTTCAATAGATATTTTTAAAAATTTGATGAATCATTTCATATTAATTATCAGTATTAATCATCAGCAAATCATAACTAATGATTAATCAATCGAGAAAATTCAAGATCGATGCAAAAATAATTTAAAATTTTGTACCAGTAGTTTTAAAAATGAAGTTAACTTTGAAAGCTTACCTTTTTGCAAAATAATTACTTCACTCAGATCAAACATTGTGCTTTCAGTGCTGATACTAATTTTAGAAAGTTTAAATTAGAAAATGAATTCAGCAGAAATGAAGTGTAGCATAAGTAAAACGAGTGTCTTGTTGAATTTTTGTCGTTTTGAAGGAATTTCCTCTTCGGCACAATATTTTTTAATCTTTCACGGAGTGTGCGTAAACGTAAACAAAATGGTAATTAATAATGAGAAAAAGTAAACCTTTATTCTTAGAAGGGTTTTTTTTACTGTGAACTAATTTAGAAACTGTGTGCTTATAATTTGTAATTATTAATCAAAACTGATTTTAAATAATGAAAGAAATATTATTTATTGTAATTTTATTCTTTTTTCAGACGACTTCACGAGTGCACATTGCAGCATAGTGAGAATAATTTGCATTTTATGCAAACAAATGCATGCACGAATCATTTTCATATCCAACAGCCTTGTAAAGCAAACAATCAAAGTGTGACTTCGCAAGTACGACAAATGTCAGAACCAAAGTTAGTTTTAATTATATTTAATGAATTTTTAATATTAATTCAAATTAAATTCAAATTTATTTCTATCCCATAAAAGTTTCGATTTTTTATTAGCCAAAAAATCTATCTGACAACAGCTGCTAAGAACAAACAGATGGCCAAGAATCTTTTGTCCACTTATAGCTCAGTTAAGTTAAGACTGATTTTACTAGTGTAAACTAATTTGTTGGTCAAAAGCATTCTTAGTTTAGTTTAGTTTATAATTTTTATGCAAATGTAAATATTTTATTCCTTTTAAATGCAAATATATTCTTCTTTTTGTGTCTGTAAAAACTTTAACTCTTCAAAAATTATGCATTTAATTTGAATTTAATTTTGAGTAAAAAACCGAAGACCAATACTGTAATTAGTAGAGTAGTAATAAGTGACTAAATTTTAAAATAAGAAGTGAACAAAATTATATTACACGTACGAGCAATTATGTGATAAACTAATAACTGATATTTTATTGCATAATTGGCAATAACAATAAGTTGTAAAATTGTATGAAACTACGTAATGTCCATGAAAATTGTGTTATATCAAGTAATACCCAATTATATAAAGAATTATTAATTAGTTAACATAAATAATTGCTAATTTTTATAAATATCAAAAACAAATTAAATAATAAAAAGAGAAGTATTAAAACTTTTGAGTATTAAAGTTTTGGCAGTGGACAAATGTTAAAATTGAATGCATTATAACTTTCTAGTGATTTACAAAAGATCAACTTTCCACTTCTGTGACATCCATTGTAACATCAGAGCAAGTTTCCGTATCCACAATTCTTTCCCAACAAATTTAAAATTCAAACTATCAAAAGGTAATAAAAATATCACTGAATTGGATTCATCTCAGAAAAGAACATTGATGCGTAAAATATATGCATAGTATTGCAAATTTAAATATTCGTTTCCACCATTGACCTATTTTTAATTAGTTTTTGAGTAAGAAATACTTCACAAAAACGAGTCATTTATATTAGTCCAACTGGAAGTTTTCAGAATAGTTTCATCTACTCTTAAATCCTTTTAACAAAGAAACATTTTTTGAGACTAATTTAGAATTTGATTACTTATTAATAAATAAATAAATAACTTATTAACCTAAACTTAAGAAGTAATAACTTAAAATTTTTTCTTGCTTCTTAAGTCTGTTAGTTTATGTAATTGAATCTAAAAAATTAATGTATACGTAATTTTTTCCTCAATATGATCAAAATATATCGTATTATGAATGATCTAATTTATTGAAAATATCTAAATTTCAATAGAAATGTAGTAATAGGTAGCCTTTTGTTACAGATCTGATGCAAAAGTAAATTAAAATTAATTGTGGTCAAACTGAATTGTTTTCTTGTTAAATATTGATAGTAATATGTTAGTTGTAGTAAGTGGTTTCAGTACTTTTAATTTTAATAAATAGCATTATGTTCATGTTAAAACAAAATTACTGTTTTAAATTTAAATTAATAATTAAAAATAAAGTTTTAGTAATGCATGAAATGAGAACTAATTATAATTTTGGATTTTTTTGGGTGTGAATTTAAAAAATTTACTAAAAATTCCACAGATTTAATTAAATATCTACAAAATGTAATCAATGGAACGCGTTTTTTTCCAAACATTAAGGATTTTCTTTCATTACCTATGAAAATTAATGAAAATTATGCAAAGACTGCAAAAAATAGAAATGTGAAATCAGTCAACCGTTTAGTTATTCAAAATTTGAAAGATTATTTGAACATTTCAGTGTGAATATGCTGAAAAATGAAAGGTCACAGAAGTGGCACGTGAAGGACGTAACAAAATCAAACGTAGTTTTTGACAGTCAGAAAGATAATTCAGAAGTAAATGATCAGGGGTCAGAGGCAAGCAAGAGCAAACAGTGGGAAGAATGGATTCGAAGTCAACCTATCAGCGTACTTCGGCTAGATCGAACCGAACGACTCGTTTTGAAAATTGGAGGTGAGACTTATTTTGAGAGCAAATCTTGTCAGTATTGCCTAGTGTTATCGAATTCATACTTTATTCCATTCGACTTCTACTAAATAATACTATTCATCAGAAACATACTGTTTAATTCATGCACTTAGAAGTTCTCTCTTGAATTCTTGAGATTTTTTTCCATCAATTAATGTGCTCAAATTATTTAATTCATTTCATATTCAAAAGTTTTTTCAAAAAATCTCACTGCGACTGAGCAGTTAGCATAACATACGCTTTCACAGTGATTGCATTTATTTATTCGCTTCAAAAAGCAAAAATTAATTAAATAATGTACTATTACTCTACACTTTGGATCTTAATCCAGTCTGTAGTTGAGTATGAACTGCCAATGTTCACTTGAAGTCATACAGAGTAGTTAAATATATTTTCTAAAATAGATTAATTTCCTTAAACTTTAATTTAAAATATTAATTCTTTTACGTGATATTAAATTGAGAAATTAATTATCGAATAACTGGTAAAAATATTCGTGAACATCATTGTCTAAGTAATTAATTTGAGAATAATCCATTAAGTTACCTAATTTCTTTTATCAGATTTAAAAAGTAAGTAACTTCTAGCAAAGTATTTGACCCCAATGATTCACCACAAAGTAATTGATTTTAATTTGAATTAGCATGCGCTCACATATTCATAAATGTCCATATATTATCATATCAATTTTTTAGACATTGCAATAACGCTTAAATCTTAAATCACAATTATTTTCTTTCTTATATATACTGACGATGTTTATAAAAGCATTAATTAGTATCAAAACTTTTACTCGTTGACCTTTAAGGAGACTGACCTTGGCAGTGAGCAGCTGATTGTCATCTCACCTTGATGCCATTTCTGTCTTATCAGATTTCAACCAATTTCTGCAAATATTTTCCTCATATTACTTTTTTTTCATTTTTTTATTTTTATTTGCATAAATTTTGAACTGTAAACTTAGCTTAAGCATTAAATCTTATGTCTGAATTCTTAATAATTTTAATTGTAAGTAAAGTGGAGTCTTAAGCATTATTTGTGTTTGTTAAATCTTATTAGTCCGTGAATGTAAATCAGTGCAATTTCGCCAAATTAATCTAATTTCGATTTCATCTTTATAAAAGTTATTGTTTTATAACTAATCGGATTTCTTATGATAGTTAGTTAATCTCTTAGAAAATCACAATTTATCGACAAAATAACTCATTATTGATAAATAATTTATCGATAAATAACCTTCCTTACCAATATTTTTGCTAATTTTTGTTCCATACAAAATCACCAAGTATTTCTTTTCCTTTTCACCATCCATTTTCATTTGCATATCTACACTCAAATATACAAATGCCAAAAAAAGGCAAAATAAACGCATTATTACCATAAGCTTTGCTTCTTTTTAACTGATATGGACAAATTTAAGATAATATTTTTCAAAAAAGTTGGAATTAATCAGAATAAAATTTTAAATTAATCATAAATGACTTTCAGCGATAAATTTTGAATATTTTTTCGCACTGATAATTTATTTGTTTTTTTTTCACTGATAATTTATTCTATTAACAAATGCAGAAATGAACTGAAACTTGAGAATGCTTGTCATATCTACTGATAACAAATGTGTGCTATCACACTTTATTTTTAATTTCGAATTCAAAAAAGAAACTTAGCAAGATCATTCTTATTCGTTATTTCCGTGTTTTACATTTAAATCACTAAGTTTGTAACGCATCAAGAATCTAAACAGTCTGAATGTTTTGTATATTTTTTGAAAAAACTTTATGAATTACTTTAAAAAATATGTGTAAAATAGAAAAAAAAAGAAATTTAAATGATAAAAGTGTACTAAAAATCATTGAAAGAATAGTATTTGTGTATTTGAATAAAAAATTAAAAATTTTTAGGAAAGGAAAAATGTTTGGGATTTTTCAACGTTGCTTTTATCTAATATAATAAAAAAGACTGAGAGTATTTTTTCGCAAAGCAAATCGTAAAATAGAAAATAAAATGCAAAAATCTTAGCAAAGTTTTTTATAAAAAAAAATTCTCGTATAACAATTTGTCTTATTTTTATCGAGCAATAACAATAACTCCCTGAATGTTTACTCACATTCCCAATCAATCATTACGGTAAAAATATATTTTTTGAACTGACATATATCATCAAAATTTGCTTATTTCCGTTTTTATTGTAAAAAAAAATTGATAAAAAAGCTGCACTACTCAATGGAGTGATAATCAGAATTATCATTTATACTTAATAATAATTACTGCCGATGTGTAATACTTAAATTCTTACTTTTTTTTTACTTCAAATCAAATCAAGAAAAAACATTTCTAAGCATCTGTTTGTTTCTCATTACATTACTTAAAATGATTGCAAAAAACAAGTCATCATTGATCATTTATCAAGTTTTTACTTTTAAACTTACTTAATTTATTCTTTGAAACTATTCTAGAATATTAAAAATTGTCATTAAGTAACAATAACATGTTCAATTTTTCTAATCAATCAATCAATCAATCAACCAACTGATCAATCATTCAAAAATTGCCAATAACAAAAAATAACATATGCAATTTTTCCAATCAGTCAATCAATCAATGATTGAGTAATTGATAAAAATTTCAGTTCAATCAAGTAGATAATTGTTTCTGATAGTATTTCTAATGTTGAAAGATTTGAAAAGAAAATACTTACCAATTTATTAATTTATAATAGATATGAATAGTTAGTTGTACAGTAATCATAAAATGGTTATCCTCCTCTTTTGTCATTTTCTTACATAACAAAAATGTCTGAAAATGAATAAAAACTCAAAATATGCATTGGTTTGAATACAAAGCTAAATGACAGACAAAATTAGCGTGCTATTCTCGCCGCGAACATTTTTCTCACTTCCCTCGCCGCGGACATCTGTGCAAACAAACAAACAATCGTTGATTCTACTCAATTCCCAATCAATCACGCAATTAATAATTAATTAGTTTAATTAAGATTTAATTTTATCACAAACTTTGTAATTTTTTGTTTTTATATCTAATAATAGACTATATTATTTTTAGCTATTTTTGCTTATATTATAGAATTAAATAGACTTTTTAAAGAAATTAAAGTTGATGGGAAGGAGAGGAAGCTGAGAATATTGATTTGTTTCTGTATACTTATGCAAAATATTAGACTACTTCAGAATCAGCAAAACCTTTGACCTATGTAGGCAGTAGTTATTTGACAGAAATTTTAATTACTTAAAGAAGACTGACTGCACTGACAATATTGTTTTTTCTAAATTTTAAGAATGGTAGAAACTTAAATGCTAAATTAATGTTTGAATGAGTACGTTGGGAAGTGCGTTTCAAGAAGTACGTAATAAGTGCTTTTATTTATCTGTCCAATTTGTCTTTGCTTACAATTCTTTTTTTGCCAACACTTTTCACTAAATAATGAAAGACGTTTGCACACGCATATTTCATTTTGAAGTGACCTGACAAATGCGTTTTCAACATAAATTTATCCTCAATTTCTAAACAAATTTATCTGCACTGAAATGTTTCCATCTAATTGTATTTTTCGAACCAGAAATTGCCATTTAAACGCATCAAAAATTCATACGTAAATTAGCAGTTACGTGCTTATTAGTGATTGGTGTTATAAATCCCTTACTAGTCACTGTAATGGATTATATGATCATAAACTTACACATTTTTTTAAGAAGTCAGAAATATAAATTGCTTGATAAATTCCAAAGGTCAAGACTATTTCTGAATTAAGCCTAATGATGAAAAGGTCAAGATCCTTTTACAGCCATACGTCTAATTTATTATTTAATGGACTGTTTATTGACTTAAGATTGATTCATTCATGAAATCTATTGTTGTTTCATAGGTTTGTGTAGAAATAAATACTTCTGACCTCTTCTCTTTAATACCATTTAAATATTCTCTGCAGTTCTATGTTTATGTTTAATAAATACTATATATTTTCAGTTATTATTCAAAGCAACTGAATTTCATAGAAATATTAAGCAAATTCATTTTCTAAGCAAGCAGCAATTCAAGTAATATTTTAATTAAATTAAGCAGCATCAATTTCAAATTAGCAATTCTGTACATATATTCAGTTTCCGATTCAATCAATACAGGGTTTTGTTTTCTTTCTTCAAATATATTTTGAAAGAAATCTTTCTATATTCTCGAGGATGTATCTCCATTTATTGCTCAGTAATTTTCTTCAGTACTAACAGATTGTATTGATTTTTTAATTTTCATTTTTGTTCAGGCTCTTGCTTTATGCAAGGCAACGGCGAATGCTCTGATAGACAGCTATAAATTATATAGCAAAGCAAAAAATGTAATCTCCGCAATATGCCATTAACGTCACAATTCAATCAGAAATTTGCCCTAAACTTTTTCAAATTCAATTCTTTAATTTCAAATTTAATTTCATTTCATTTCATTTCTTGCATAAATATCGTTATCATTTCCTTTCTTACAACAACTTTTTATCATGCATGATCAATCGCTTAATTAATTGTAATTATTTTATGATAATTGTTTTTTCAATAAACAAACATGTTACTTCACGCGCTAAGTATGTTTAAATTCAGTGATCAATTAATTGTAATAATATTAAAATTTAATACATCTATCATAATAACATTTTCCTCTAACACTCCATATCTATTACAGTGGGATATGTTTGGTACTGCAAATGATAACATGTGAATTTTACTGCAGTCATCAACCAAAAAACATGTACATAAATATGAATTAATAATTAGATGGCTTCAAGTAATTAATTTAAGTGATTCAAGTGAATTCATTTCCCATGTTTAATATTTCATTTCAAATAACAGCATAAATTAATTTTAATCCAAAAACTACGTCTTCTATTATTAATATTTTTAATAGTTATTTTACTTTTCATCGTTCTTTTTCTTACGCACAAACCATACAGTATTAATCATTGTTTACAAAGATGACATATTTTTGGTAAATTACAACTTTTCGAATCTATAAAAACAATAATTGTTATTATTCTTTCCATTAATATTGTTTTGGTTTTTGAAAT